AGTTTTCACATGCTGTTTTTAAAATTGCCGACTGATTCAAGCAGGAGTGTGTGAAGATTATGCTGCACTCATTGAAGAAGATGGAACTAAAGCATAAAATCTGTTGCATGAAAAATGCGTCCTTGGATCTTCTAATTCTGTTATACACTGTACAGGCTGACATATCCAAATCCCTTTCTATCTTTCTTTGAGGAACATTGTTTTTAAACATTCCAATAATTTTCTCAGGTATATGTTGGCAAACTGGCGGTCCTCGGCCCATCTTTGCTCCTAAAGGGCTCGGCCTTTTGCCACTTTTGTACCACCAAATCCCGATCATAGTCACCTGTTGACATCAGCTGTTTCAAAAGGAATCATGATTTCTTGTTTTACCTCATTTCTGGCCCTGAAATGCAGCTCTTTTGGAATGTGTTGCAGGTATCAGAATTGAGATGAGTATTTATTTTGAACACAGAATAAAACTGATGAGGTATCACATCAAATAATGTGCTGTTGTATTGTTTTCAATGTAATACAGGACACAGATGATTTACAAATCATTATTTTCAGTTTTAATTTAGATTTGACATACCATCCCAACTTCTTCTGATCTGGGGTTGTCAATCTCTGATACATTTTAACACTGGGAAAAAGAGTTTGATTTTAATGACCACCAATTTGCTGCTAACTAGAATTTTCATGTATAAAATAAATCTGGACTGGCAAACAGTATGTCTGCAGTGCCACTAGCCTCTAGTGTTTTCATGATGTGAGTTTTTGACCAACATTAATTGAAATTACCTCCTGACTTGTGTTTTACCATACGACCAATTGTGGAGCTGTGTGTCTTTCTTCAGTCTTACAGTATGGTTGTAAACATCATTTAAATCCCATCAATGAAGAAACCCTTAATTAAGATTTACAGTAATGAGCAACATGTAATACTTATATTTTTAGGTGCATCTGATGTTGGCAGCGGTGATTATGGACGTTACATCACAGATTCCAGGCTCAAAGATGATGATGGCTTCAACATTGATGACTCTGATTATGACCTTTTTGTTGAAGAGGTGAGTTTTTACAGGACAGTTGGATAGGGACAAATGAAACCTGACAGAGGTCATGTTAGCTGCTGAACACATTGGTGATGAGAAATGACAGTCAAATAATGTGACTGTCTTTTACTGTATGTGTAAAATATTTTTCTGTTCACATTTTTTGCATCTTCTTTTCTCATTTGAAGCCATTCCCAGATATCAGTCAGGACAACAGGAAATCCCAGCTCCGTTCCCACTCTGCGCCGCCATCTGGTCGAAACGTTGTTTACCGTATGAACACCATTGCTCCTCTCAGTGTTACTGCCCCACCAGTGTTGTCCACCGCCTCATCCGTCTTCCCAGATGCCACAGATCTGGTCTACTCAACCACTTCAGAGTCCAGTACCACCTTTGAGACGACAACTACTGCCCCACTTACTACTACCAGGTAAACTGTACAGTACCCTGATTTTACCTTGATATTTATTTATTATGTTTATTGAACTAATTTGTTTGAAAATGATCAAATTTTAATGGTACTTATAACCAACTGCAAGAGGTAACAGCATTTCTTCTAAAGGCAAATATTTAAAAACGTTTTTTAAAGGCATAACAGGTGTTTTTCTATGGAGAGAAAAAAAAGCAGTATTAAAACTGATTTTTAATCTAAAAAAAATCAGGATTCTTACTGCTGCTCCTCTGGCTCTTTGATTGCTAGGTTGCAGCCTCTCCTGGAATTCTTTTCTCTTCTAAAAGCCACCTACAATTTGTTCTTTTCATGCTCTTCCACTTAATAAAGATGGCTTCTGGAACATTGAAATATTACATCAGTTTAAGCTATGTGGTTGTGACATACAGCATATATTCACAGCTTTTTACAGGTTGTTTCTTTCCTTAAAGCAGAGGGAAAATGATGCTTCCAAGGAAAGGGGGAAGGAACAAAACAGTTAATGCAATAAATACATAACAGAAATGCATTTGAAAGTAAACACTATTATTAGCTGAACCATTACTGTGCACTGCAAAAACTGTGCATCTGGAAAAGTCTGAACACTAAATTTTCTAAATCTTTCTTCCTTTTTGGATCCATCTTAGCATCACTTTGCCCACCACTGCTGCCACCCCAACCATGTCCCCCTGGAAAGATGAAATACCTCGTGTCTACGACCTGACCTGCGAGGACACTGTGTGTCCCCAAGACAGCTTGTGCCTCAGTGATCACGACAGCGGAGGTTCGCGCTGCCACTGCAACCTGGGGCGAAGAGGGGACACTTGTTCTGAGGGTGAGCAATCCACAGCTGTATTTCTAGCCCTTGGTATTTTTTATTTTTATGTGTAAATGTGTTTAGAAAAAAGGGCTAAAGCAGAACTCCTGCATTCATATTTACAATCATTAATTATACAGTACTTTATGTCTTTTGTACATTTGTCAAAGGCACAAGTTTTGGTAAAAGTGTTCAGTGAAAACAGCCAGCAGTGTGATAGGGCAGTTCTTTGTTACATTTGCAAGCATGTGGCATGTTGCAACATTTATCCCCATTGCCTCTGGTACCATACACATGCCATGATGATCCATTGTTCTTTTTCAGTGGTATCAGTCAACTTTCCTAGGTTTTATGGCTACTCTCACATGACCTTTGAACCACTGAAAAACTCTTACCAGACCTTTCAGATCACTTTGGAGTTTAAGGTAAGATATTGATTTTACACCTTTGTTCTTCATCCTGACAATGATGATGAAAATGTATCTGAAACAGTTTCTTTCTGGTGCAGGCGGACAATGAGGACGGCTTGTTACTGTACTGTGGAGAGAATGAACACGGCAGTGGAGACTTTACTTCTTTGGCTCTGGTTCGGGGCCAGCTGCACTACAGGTGAGGAAGGCGGTGACTCGCATACGTACAAGTACATTTCATGTTAGCTGTCACACACTATAGGTCGGGAACACACATACACATTTAGTCATTTAAAAGCATCAAGGGAAATTACATCTAAATAAAAAACCGATGGTTGATGCACAATTAAACTTAGTTTTAAGGCATTTTCATGTCATTTAAAGGTGCAGCCATAAAGCCATGGCACCTTAGTTATATTTTAGTGATTGTAAGCAGTAAGGGGGATATTTAAAAAATAAATAACATTTATGTGCTTAAACTACTGAGTCACAAATTTTTTATTAAATGACAAATGAGCACAGACGCAGCAGGGTTACTTTGAATGCATTTGGTACCTGTATGTGGACTGAGATGAAGTGTAGAAGAAAGTATAAATTTACTGCCACTGAACTTTAATATTGGTTGAAACCAAACAAATTTCTGAATGGCAATCCCATAGTCTTCTGCCAACCAAAATGTCTTTCATTTAACTTAGTAATAGAAGAATGGTGTGAACTGATAGGCTGTAAGAGTCCCTCACATTCTCCTCTGGCATCCCAATTAGAAACATACAACTTTTGGAGTAAAGAAGAGTTAAATAGGTTAAGCATACATATTATTTGAGCTTGTTTATATAATAGTTTTTATGACATAACAATGACCTGTTAGATGTTTTTATTTATTTATTTTTTTGGCCCTGCAGGTTTAATTGTGGTACAGGAGCAGCTCAGGTCATCAGTGAGAGTCATATTGTTCTTGGTCAGTGGCACACAGTAACTGTTTTCAGAGATGGCATGGGTGGCTGGCTCCGTATGGACAACAACACCCCTGTATCCGGACGCTCGCCGGTAACAATAACACATACAGAAAATAAAATAACATCTTCATATGGATACTGCTGTTACCCAACATTTTATTTCAATTAGGACATATAGATGGGGCATTTTGTGAATAAATATACCTGTCAAAGTACACTACATACACCTTGCACACAAGTACTGCATGCTTTCTTGAATTGTCTTTTAAGGTAGCTTAACAATACTGTAGTTTCTATAAATATTGTAGATGCTTTTATTGAACTACTGACTTAGGTCACCAGTCTATCAGAAGGCTGACACGCAGAGATAGCCAACCACTCATACGCACATTTGCTTCTACTGGTGATTTAGAGCTGCGTCACCTGTTACTAACACTACTGGCTTTCCAGAGAGCAAGTACTAAAGAGCATGTTTACAATAATAAAGGATGAAACACATTTCCTTCTCTTCACTCTTGCTCTTTCAGGGCCAATACACTAAGATCACTTTTCGCTCTGCGTTATATGTGGGTGGATCCCCAAGTGCTTATTGGCTGCTCAGGGCAACAGGGACAAACCGTGGCTTTGTTGGTTGCATTCAGAGTCTGACCATCAACAACAAAGCCATAGACATCAGACCATGGCCTCAAGGCAAAGCTCTGAGTGGAGCTGATATAGGTGAGGAAGCATACACTATCTATGTGTGAATTTGTATAATGAATGTGTTTTTTTTTCCTTTGGCTGCTGTCAGTGGTACAGTTCTCATCAATAGTACCCATAATGCACTGGTTCTCCTCTCTAGTTAAGCCTGTGTATGAGGAAACTACTTATTTTGGTCTTTATAGATAAATACCTGCAATAAAGTTAGAGGATTTGAATTTGGGTAACAGTTATTCATTCTTTGGTTGAAGCAACTGCAACCATAAATTTAAGAAAAGTGAAACTCTATTTGTTTCCTAAATGTATGCATTGTTTACATTTATCTATACAGATACATAGGCTGAGTCTGCCTTTATCACCTCATACTTCCTTGCTAATCTGTGCCAGGTGAGTGCAACAACAGCGTGTGCAACCAGGTCAGCTGTGCCAACGGCGGCATCTGCCGTGCTAATCATGCTGACGGCTACATCTGCCTGTGCCCACTTGGCTTCAGGGGAACCCTTTGTGAAGAGAGTGAGTCAACTCCAACTTTCCTTTTCTCCCACCTATACAAAGAACAAACACTTGCCTTGTGCACAAGAGGAGATTTGTACCTCTGCATGTAGAAAATATGATTTCTTTGTGGTTTCTTCTTACTCAGTGGGTGTCATAGATTTTCACACACAGTTTTTAAGGTAGTTACTGTTGAGTGAATTATGACCGAAACAGTTTGAGATGAGGATTATTATTTCATATACAGACACAGAGCCAGACTAGCTGTCACACAACAAAACCTTCTCCTTTCTTTTCCTTCTCTCCATGTGTTTTTCTCCATTTTTTTTGTTCTCATCAGCTTCTCCTTTTTCCTCTTATTCATCTTAACGATTATGCCTCTTCTTCACCCTTGACCCAAATCTTTCTTTCTTCCTACCTGTTTGTTTCTTTTGTCCTCTCCAACTCTTCAGGTTTTTCACTGTCATCACCACTCTTCAATGAGACAGTGTTTTCATACGCTGTTATCCCCTGGCCTCAGTCCTTTCAGAGTTATTTGTCCTTCATGGAGTTCGAGCTGACGTTTCGGCCGTCAATGCCTGATGGAACACTGCTGTATAGTGATGACACAGGCAGCGCAGACTTCCTGGCTATAAACGTGGTCGACAGATTTGTAGAGTTCAGATTTGACTGCGGCTCTGGGGGAGCTGTCATAAGGTACTAAGCAGATAGATTCACTTTTATTTTATTCTGTGATGCTTTATTCTCCTATTTCTTTTATATTTTCTAACCGGATGTCCAGTGCTAAATGTGATGATCTGTGCTACAGGAGTGAAGAGCAGATCAGTCTGGACACATGGCACGAGCTGAGGGTATCTCGCACGACAAAGAGTGGCATCCTACAGGTAGACAGCCAGAGGCCAGTGGAAGGGATTGCTGAGGTATTTGGCTTCTATATGTGTTGAATAAATTGGTATTTTTGATCACAAGAGGGCAAAAATGTCAGAACAAACTCAACAACAGAGCCTTCACATACACTTCTGTGAGCTCTGTGGGCTGAGTTTCAACACACATTTACTTTCAGCAGACACAAGGCAGCATGGGTGTCTCACTGAAATCATATTTTGAATGTTCAACATTTACAAATGTTTTTAGCCCTGGTTTGGTATTTTAACTCCTGAAAAAATATCAAACCCTCTTTGATTTGCCTTTTGCTCAACTCTCTAAAGTGAAAGAGAAGGAGATTTAACTCTGATGTGGTTTGTAATAAATTAATTTAATTTATTTACAAAGATATTGCCGCCAGTTTTGAGTATCTAGCGCTGCCGTTGTTACACATAACGTACTGAACACACAAATCATAAAATACAGTTGTTACAGTGACTTTAAATGATAAAAGCAAAATATCAACTTTTTTATATGATTTGCTATTCCTTCATCTTCAGTGAGTTCTCATGCTTGCAAATGCATTAGGAGTCAAACATCCCCGGTCAATTCATAAATTCTTAGACAAGAAGTATTAAGCAAAACATATCCAGAATGTTTATGAACATATTTATTTGCTGTATGTGGCGCAGCCAGGTTTATTTATGGATGGGTGACATTTATCTCCTCAGGGTGCTTTCACTCAGATCAACTGTAGTTCACCTCTCTATATTGGTGGAGTACCAGAATATGATAAAACCAAGAGGATGGCAGGTGTAAAAAAGCCCTTTACTGGGATTATTCAGAAGGTATGCTCCTCCACAATCACCAACACCTGTAGCATTTTTTTACATTACTTCAAGAGGATCATTGCTCATCAATTCATTTCAGATCCATCACACTGGCAATGCGTCAGGAGAAGAAGGTTCCTATTTAAGTCACAAGATTTAATTCTGTTAGAAATAGATAAGCATGAGTATGCAGTGTCTCTTTGAGTTTTCACAGCTCCTCTTTCCTTCTCTTCATCCTCTCTGTGTGTCTCATTTCACCTACCCAGCTGATACTCAATGACCGCACCATCCCAATAACAACTGGCTCCGCTGGCGGAGTTAATGTAGCAAATTCAGCACACCCATGTGTGGAAAGCCCCTGCACCAATGGAGGGACCTGCAAGCCAAAGTGGGATGGATATGAGTGTGACTGCCCCCTAGGGTATGATGGGAGGCACTGCCAGAAAGGTCAGCCACACTATGTCTATGAACTGCTATCCTTGATACATACAGTATATGAACTACTCCCGTGTTGGGGGTCATATTTTTTTTACACGTTATTTAGTCAGTGAACAAGTTATAGTCATACTGTGCTCTTCAAACAATTACTAGCACATCCCATATGGGAGTCTGTGGCAGGGGTTTGTTGTATTGTGATTAGAGAACAGAATATTACTGGGAACAATGCATTGTTTATATGATGCTTATTTTAAAAAACTGTTTTGAGGCTGTTATCATGTGCTTTTGACAGCTAGGACTAAATACTGTATATCAGATTTTTGCTTGTCTTTTGTAGCTTAAAACCAAAAGATTATACACTTACTGTACATGACACAGTGGTTTGTGCAAATAATTAAATACATTTTAATGAACTTCTTTCATTTTCTTACAGATTAAATGTATTTTCTATCATGTAATGCCATTTAGAATAATGCATTGGACATTTGAAACCCTTAAGCCTGTATACCTTCTTTGTTTTTTAATGCTTTCACTGAACAGAGTGTGGAAATTACTGTTTGAACAGTAAGTTTTCTTACATGAATTCAAAATGGCTTTATTAACACCCTGAACAGCAACTTAACCTTAACATTCCCCTTCTTAGCATACATGTAACCCCTAAACATTGACTTTAGTCTTCCCACTTTTAACATCAGCTTGTAGATACATAATAATGCTGCCACCTTGTGATGGTATAAAGTAAATACACGTTTTCTCTGCCCAGCTGTGACTGAAGCCATTGAGATCCCACAGTTCATTGGCCGAAGCTACCTGACATATGACAACAGAGATATCCTTAAAAGGTTGGTGGTGAAATATGTGTAAACCATTTGTGTTTATGCTTGATATGTTAAATTATACCCCCCACTTCAAAATCTTAAGCCGTTAAAGCTAGTACTGTATGTGAACACTAATCCTTAGACTGCACGACATGGACATATAGCGTGTGCAAAAGCAAAGTGTACACACACATACTAAAAACAAAACAAACAGAAAATAATGAAAGAAGCTTGGTGTTTTTACAGCAAAGGTGTGTATTGTTACATTCTTGCAGTACTTGTTAGGTCAATTTATCCATACTTTTCAGGGTTTCTGGGTCCAGGACCAACCTTTTTATGCGTTTTAAAAGCATATCTAAGGATGGCTTGCTGCTGTGGCGAGGAGACAGTCCAATGAGACCAAATAGTGACTTCCTGTCTATGGGACTTCAGAATGGGGCACTTATCTTCAGGTATTTCTTTGTGTAAAATATAAAAAGTTAAGGGTGTAAAAAAGTAAAAGCAGTTATGTAAGCTTACATCATCATTCTTGTAAAAGGGACATGTGAGACATAGAATAGACAGTCCACAAATAGAGACAATATATAATTGCAGGACAAGATTAAAAGAAACCACAAAATATCATGTGTGATGTGTGAACTTACATAATGGAGGTAAATAGAGCTCTATCTGAATGGAAAAGCATGTCAGCAGTCTGATTTGCAGATGTCCATGGATGCTGTACAAATGTGAACTTTCTTATTAAGGCATCAAATGTATCAGTATAGTTGGTCACAAACATTTCACTGGCACCTCACTGAGCAAGCAAGGTAAACAGTATGTGAAGCACATACTTATTTTGTCCTCTGAGTCTGCCTTCATGTAGGCAACCCAGCCATATCTAGGTTGTACAGACACTTTTTAATCAAAGTGCTGCGTGTCACTCGGTTTTCCTGTGTCCCTCTGATGAAACAGGAGCTAGGGAACACAGGTTCAAGCAACAAAGATTTAAACAAGAGAAAAAATAGTGCAACAGGAGAATGAAGATGATGGCGTGGGAATAAGGGCAGGGAGAGCTCAGCACACAGTAGAGGCAGTGCTAAAAGACTTAAAACGGTGTGTAGCATACCCATGGTCTGGAAGAGAACTGTGATGTATCAGGGCAGTAACATGGAAATGTGAATCCACTCTTTGTAACCAGTTAAACACTTCATATTTGTTTCCATATTCTTCAAGTTATAACCTGGGCAGTGGTGCAGTTAACATTGTTATCAACGGGACCTTTAGCAATGGAAAGTGGCACAAAGTCAAAGCTGTGAGGTAAGCTCAGAAAAATGACTTTTATTAAGAAATCCTGTCGAATGTACTGTATATTCACTGTGGTCACTTCAAATGTAGTTACTTTAATTGTTTAGGAGAAGCAAAAAAAAAACATTGTCAAAGAAAATACAAATGTATCATACTAACAGTTACAGTACATAATCTATGCACTGATCCTCAGGTTTATTTCTAAGTTTGTCTCCTGTCTCTTCAGGGATGGCCAGTCAGGGAAGCTGACAGTCGATGACTACGGAGCAAAAACAGCCAGGTCACCTGGCAAGATGAGGCAACTCAATATCAATGGACCCTTATATGTTGGTAGGCAAAGTAACAGAATTCTATGACACACTGTAGGTCAAACAGTCATTTTGATGTCCGCATTTCTATGGCCTCCTCCTCTAATGTGTGCTCACTCTGTCTTCTCCCCCTGAAGGTGGCATGAAAGAAATAGCTCTTCACACAAACAGACAGTACATTGGTGGTTTGGTGGGCTGCGTGTCCCACTTCACACTCTCTACAGATTATCACTTGGCACTGGTGGAGGACGCCACTGACGGCAAGAACATCAATACCTGCTCTAACTAGGAAAAGGCTTCAACAGACGCATGTTCACTTTAAACTGGAGTGAATGCCAGAGCCTGCTGATTTGTCATCTTGAAACAGCAACGGCAGCACCAAATTAATGAAAACTAATACAATATAATTGCGGTCTACCAATTCAAGTCTGGCATGGTATTAACTTGAACTGGAAAAAGACTAAAAACAATTTTACTTTCAGTCACAAGAGTCATTTAAATGGCTCCTGTGTGCAGTGTTCAAATCAGCTCTAACCCTTTGAGGTGTAAGGTTTGTTTTAACATTAATAACTTGATGAACTGTTCTGAAAAAAAAAAAACAGTTTTGACACATGGCAACAGCAAATATGACCACAGAGGGACTTACAAAACAGAACTACTCTTTGAAAGGAGAGAAAAAGCTTAGCATTAGGGGTAGCAAGGGTCTCCGAGCAACCTTTCAAAATACATTTTTTCATGGGATGATTCCATTTGTATATTGATTATTTTCTACTGAAAATCCTCATTTGATTGCTGGAAGAGCCAAGTGATCCGAAGGATCAAGAGTCATCACAGGCTTTTTCAGGAAACTGATCTAGAGCAGCTAGTAGAGATAAATGTCTTTGTAGAGGATTTAGTTTTTGACCATAGAGGATTTCTGTTGTTTTTATTGTTGTGGCATTTGTATTCTTTTTCGTGATGTATATTATAAGTCTGCAGACAACACTTTGTGATGCCGGATGGATGTCAGTATTTTTAAAAGTTGCTAGTTTTTAAGGGTGAAGATGTCAGCTGTGCAAAATATGCATTTCTTTTTGTCTTCTTTTAGTTTATATGCTCCTTCACGTGGAATTTGCAGACGCTAGTCACATGAAAGTCTGATGTTGGCGCAGTAAAGCAGCCTAAATCATGGAGAAACTGTGTCACCAGACACAGACCATAGTACTGTGGATGTCAGCCTTTAAGTTGAGTTTAAATTTGTATGTCTTGTTTTTACATCAGAAGAAATTGATAATTTTTCTCATATGAACATTAGATGGCCTTATTAATTGATCATGCTTAAGTATTTATCCTTTAAAAGGTTTGTCTACAAATGTTCCATCCAAGTCTTTATTTCATGAGCCATTCTTGGTTATATTAATTGTTGTTGCTGCCGCAACAACAAGTATTTATCCTTTAAAAGGTTTGTCTACAAATGTTCCATCCAAGTCTTTATTTCATGAGCCATTCTTGGTTATATTAATTGTTGTTGCTGCCGCAACAACAAGTATTTATCCTTTAAAAGGTTTGTCTACAAATGTTCCATCCAAGTCTTTATTTCATGAGCCATTCTTGGTTATATTAATTGTTGTTGCTGCTGCAAAAAGATACACTACTGTACAAATACAGTAAGATGGTTTCTCCATGGAAGCTCCTGGTTTCACTTGATTTGTTAAAAGTTTGAATTCATAACAAATCTGGTGATATATTGGCAAATAGATTAACTAGAATGTATTTGAAATAAAGTCAGTGGTCCTTATAAAGCCTGCAGCATTTTTAGCAACTGTGTTAAGTCTGAAAAGCATTGCAAATGAGTTACATCCACTGTAGCAAGTAATGAAATGGCTGTTGATGCTGTGGTGTGTTTATTTAATTGGTAACCATTGGTCACAGACAGTTTTACAATAAAAAATATAGAATATTAATTTATGTTTTTTATATGGCATGGCTGGGCAGTGACTGACACTTCACGGTGGCAATGGAGTAATAAGGATATATTAGCCGAGCCTTTTTTGCCAAATGTGAGCTGGGACTGAATTCAGAGATCAGTTGAATGGACATGTAAGCAGCAAAAGGGGTAAATAGTTTCATTAAAACTAAATACCAGTCCAGTTAGATGTGCCAGGTCTCTGATATTGTGTATGTTAGTGAAGGAGTTGAAGGACCCTTTATTAAAGTTATTACACCTGTTGCCATAGTTAAAATGTCTGTGAAAATTTCTGATTGTTATTGGCTAAAAATATTTTTCAGGACTACTAAAAATAATGTGCTTCCTACTAAATCAATTACTATATTTACAATAACTGAGTAGTATAAATTATAGTTTATATTTAATGACAGTAAACGGCCACTAGATGGCTGTATGGAATCATATTTCTTACGACTATTGCAAGATTGTGCGGTTGATTTCATTTTTAAAAATTATTTCATTCTGTGAAGTTTCTTTAAAAATTACCTTAACACAATCAGTACAAATTTTTGTTAAGGGCCCTTTCATTCCCCCTGTACATAATGCTGTATGTGCTCCAGTAGTGTGTTTATGAAATAAAAGTCCTTTGTAATCAGCAGAAATTAACTTCACACTGTGTTGAGCCCATTCTCTGGCTCAGTGCACAATGACTTTGCTCCTGTACTGAGGGACCCATCCCACAAAGAGCTCATGAAGTGGCTGTGGATGTCAAATAAACGGAAACGCACTTCAGGACACTATGTCTATAAGCTAAGCAGTGAAATCTATGGAAGGTAAAACCAGTCTTTGAGATCTGACTTTAATTTCTGAGATTATTATTACATCAACATGTAAGAATAGTTTTAATGCTGTAGCTAACTGCAGTGGAGATAATTTTATTTATTTTATTTTTTGTATGCCTTATATTTTAGGACCATTAACGGCTTTTAAGAACTCTTCATCTGTCTGAAACTCTGAAATCTAGTGAAATAGAAGTAAACAATAGAATGCAATTAAAATACTATAGTAAAGTACCTCAGAAATGTATCTAATATCTGAGTAAATGTAAATGTTTTGTAGCAAGGGCTTTACATGATAATGACTGCTGTGCATTGTACTGTGGTTCATAATGGCTTTACACCTAAATAATTTGTGCTGTTGTGACATATCAAAAGTAAGTCACTGGGTCTACACCCATGTGTGAAGAAGAGGATGAAGAAAGGTTGTAGGAAGTGTGTGGGGGCTGGGCTAGTATTGATGTGATTTAGTGTTGAGTTGAGCAGATGCGTTGAACGCCCCTGGAGACCCGGCTGATAGTAGCTCTGCCTCTGGCCGACAATATATGGGCTGGGGTGGCAAATGTATTTACACAGATTTGACAGCACTTGATTGAACTTTGATTGAGGTTCACTTAATTTGTCTTTGATTGATTCTTTGGTATTGCTTTCTTCTCTTCTCCCTATCATTTTGTGATCTTATCGGCTGTCTTGACCTCATTCTTTGTTCCTGTGTTTATTTATTCCCTATTTCTGCAGTCAACAGAGAACAGCTGCTGTCTCTAAAGAAGAAAGACATAGCCTAAAGCACTGGAACATTTGTTAGGTCTGCTTAAGACCATGAAGTGCACAGTGAGTGGATAATAGCTCAGTATGCTTTTATGTTTTATGGTCCCCACCGTGTAAATCATTGAATTTTAGGGAGATGACTTGGATTAAGGTCAGGATAAGTCTCCAGGATATGACCGTAAGTCAATGTAAAATCCCCACAAAGAATGAAAACCTGTGTATGCTTCTGTATTTATGGGTGTGTTTGCGTGAAAGTGGTATAGGAAGCACACCATCCATACATAATTCATTATCCATCAAAACCTCTGTCATGACATTCTATAATAGATACCATCTGAACGAGGTTTATCTATCACCAAATGTCACAACATTGACAATGTGAGAAGATCCTGGGTGTTATGAGATGGCAATATACACACATATATCTGTGATATAATCAGTATAAGTCATAGAACATATCACGAGCCGTATCTGAGGGAAAATGTATTTCAGTCACATTGCCATAATTTAAATATTTCTTACTGTAATTCCAAACAAGACTATACTACAGCTACATGTATGTAATAATGACACACTACACTATTTATATTCTAATCAGTATGTTGTTTTGGCTGAGAGTATAAAAAAAGTTATTGCACTTTGCTGTTTTGTATGTAAAATGATAACAGACCTGTCACTATACTAAAATTTAGCTAGTTGGGAAGAACAGAAAGTAAACTCTTTTTCTGAAGATTTAATAATTTTCCATTGTACTAGATGCTACCTCAAAGCTTCCCGCAGTGTTTAAAAAACTTTTCTGTTTGAGCTGCAGCTCTTTAGCACTGCACTGAGAAAACCGGGTTCATTAACAATGCATTCAAAATCTCAGCAGCAGAACATTTTCAAACAGACCTGTTAGTGTCGCTAGATGCTGTGTATGTGTGGCCTTGTTTTTCCAAACTTGTGGAGACCAAAAACTGGGCGGACGCTGGCTTTGCAGGACCAGTGTTACTTGTGGGGAATGTATGCTGCTTCCACAATGTAGTTCATCAAATTTTACAAAAATGATGTGGTGTAAAGTTAGAGCGTGTTGGCTTAAAGTTAGGTTAGTGTAAGGCTTTCGGTTAGGCAAGTGCCAGTTATGGTCAGGTTAGAGTAAGTCTCCAGCCTATGTAGGGACCTGATCAGTGATGAAAACAAGGATGTGTGTGTTTAATACAACACACAATTCAACTGTACAGAATTTAAGCTTAACGAAACAAACATACAGGTGATTTTGCTCATCTCACATTCAAACTGTCGTGAGGCTACCAGTGTGAAGTTTGCCTTCTGTCTGGTGCTGAAGAAAAGCTTGTTCATTCATGCTGCATGAATGGTCATATTAAAGTTCATAACAATCTGCTCATTCAGTTTTGATTTACAGAGTAAAAATGGAAACTTGCATCGCACAAAAGAGTTCACTGTCTTGACTGTTTATCACTCTGTTTCCAAACAGGAGGTGGAGAGAATGATCTACGGCAGCAGATCCCAAAAGTCTTAAGGGTTGGATGGTCTCTCTAAAATCTGTGTACTGTATGTCCCTAAGGCAATATTACACTTGGCATTTAAAATGCCTCTCTCCAGATGACCTAGACTTGACCCTAGCATTAAGCAAATGCGTGTACATTGGTGGTCTAAGAGAGTGTGTGTATGCATGTGCACCTGCATGTTCATGTTTTTGTGTGGCTGAAGCCAAATTTCTCTCACTTTATCTCTCTCAGGATGGACAATTGTTTGGACTGAACTATCTGTCTCCCAGTGTGTCTGTCTCTGTCTGTCTGGTTGGCTGTTAAGATGGGAGGAATACTTTCCACTGTGAAAGCTAGCAGTTATAAACAGTGACTGAGCTCAGACAGGAGATACAGGCCTCTGATCATAACAACATCTCTGAATTCCGTAAATGCTCTCAGTATTTCTGTATTTTGGGACAAAACGAGATTCTTATTATAATGTGTGACTTTGTGCAATATGTACTGCACACACTATGTATTACTTGTACTGTTGGGCTGCCAACTTTCCATCAGTATGCATTTGACTACTGTAAATCACTGAGCTCAATGTATCTGGAAAACAGTTTGCCAAGTTAATCTTCATCCCATAAATTCAGATCTCATCTTTATTGAGTGTACTAGCACACATCTTGGGAAAGAAAGACTTGTGCACTAACCATAACCCTAAAAGTGTAGTATTTACTGGGATAGGTTGGGGATTAAGGGCTGGAGGGGTCAGGCTGATTAGATGGCTGGCCGACAAATACCAGTTTATAATGCCTCACTGTTGCTTTATTTGTTTAGCTATAGATAAGGGTATGTATGCTCGTGAGTGAATTATTTGTATACAGAATGGTTTGTGCAGTTATAGAAGGTTATTTGTTTTTATTCTGTGATTGTGTGTGCCTTCACATTCTAGGTTATTTGGGCTGGCATCCCGCCCATTTCCTCCAGGCTCATCAGTCTAACTGAAGGAGACATGAAAATGTCTATGATTCCCACAAGTTTATTTTCTAAAACAGAGCTGTTTTGCCAGAGTCATTTGAAGTCAGTGTGTGTTTGTTTTGATCTTGCAAGCCAAAATTGTACCACTCATTACATAAATTCAACTTTTTACTTTTTAAACAAACATAAATGAAGGAGCTTTACAGAGCAATCAGACCCCTTTATCTGTATATAGTTGGGCACATTCACACCCAGGAGTCATCCATTAAAGTAATTGTGCATTTAACTCAACAAATTTGAATTAATGCTATGCAGACCACAGCTGTTGTCCACAGTTTTGATGTGAAGCACATCATTTAACAAGAGCATGCACATATGCTATGCTGTATTCCTCCAGGCTGTGACTATGTATGTGCGGGCAGCTGACAGAATAGGGGGCAGGTGTCCTCCTTTTATCCATGCGGATGATGTATTAAATGTCATTTAGAGGGGCAGATTATCATGCCATTAAGGGGTGGAGCTTGTCTCAGCGGGTGCATGTCTGTGTGTTTGTGAATGTGTGTTAGGCTGGGGCCTGCTAAGCTGTGATCCTAAGCATTTGGAGAGGTGAGCATATGGAGACTGGAATAGACTATTTGACAGAACAAAAGACTGGCAGGGTGTCTGAGGTTTTGTGCTATAGCACACTTTCTATTGTTAGTGTTTGATGTCATTATCCTGTGGCCCGTGACACTCCTTTGTTCTCTGTTAGAGTTTTTGCCTGCTGGCCATTGTTGACAATACAAGTAATTGATCAAATGTCTTAAGAAAGTGAAGTAGACTGGTGGGCCTATAGGAGGGCCATGTTTTAAGGATTACATTTTTGTGAACTCAAAAGCAGTACTCTTTGTCACATGGGAATGGACCACTGAGACATGATCTAAGTGTAGTTTTTTATTCATTTACTATTCTATACTTTGAATTGACTATGCCTTTTGTTTGTTACTTTAAAGGTTGTTTTAGTTGTATCCTTATAGTGTGGACAGCTTATTCAAACCCTGGGTACATCTCAATTCCCTTAATTGCATCCATGTTGCCCCCATGTTTTCCTTGTCTTAGTCCTGCCCAGATAAGATGCAAGGAAACAATTTAAGGTGGGAGGAAACAAGTTTTAGAAACATGAGATTGCCTTTCCTTCATCTGAAGTGTCCCGTCCCATAAAGGGGACGTGTTGGTCCACAAAAGACTTTTGTGAAGGATGGTCTCATGTATTGTCAATCATGATTCCTCCAGCAGCCTCCTCACTCCTTAATTCTTGCTCCTCAGATTAGGAAGAGTTTTGGGATGTCCTTCAAGAGGCAGACCACAACTTCTGGGTCAAGTGAGGATTGAAGAGCAAGGAACAATCAGTTAAGGGCATTGAGATGTCTTTTACTTCAAAAATGTATTTTTGATGCTGTCAATAAACATAATGAGCAGGGTAATGCATCTCACATCTTGTGGTTTGTTCTTTTAAATCTGACAGGAATAATTTAAAACAATGATTTGCAGTTGCAACCACAGTTCTACCCTTACTGGAGAATGAGATCCTCATTTCCAATGGGAAGGATATTGTGTGAAAACTGGTATGTCTCCTGTTCATGACAAAATCTTCCAAGGCAGTCCACACCCCTCTATTGTTGTTTCTCCATTCCCCGCCACACCTGACTTCCTGTTGCTCCTCTCTGTTTACCTTAGATACCCTTGTCTTTAGGCACACAGTGTTAAATGTGGAATTGTATCCAGGAAGGAAACAAATTTTGTTATGATACAGTAAGTGATGGCGTGGCCGGCTGTTGCAGGATACAATACAGTATATTCACAAGGGTTACACACTGACCAGTGGAGTGTTTTATTAATTTAACCATCTGGTGAAAATTCTCATGTAGACTGGTGTCATTAACCTGGTTTGTACTGGGATTAGGCAGGTGTGAGAAAGCGGTAGGCCCCATGGCATTCCCAGTGCACACAGGGAAGGAGCTATGATGGTAAGAAGTGTATATGTGTGTGTATGATGAAGGCCAAGAAAAGGATGGGATGAGTGTTTAATTGGGCCACTACTATATCAGCCTACAGGCAAAGTGAATATTGATCTGTCTGGGCTAGAATAGCATGATGAACAAGAGCCAGTGCAGAAGTGTAGAGGGAGAAGAATTACCAACTGTCTGGACAAAAATAACAAAGATGGATAAACAAACAAAGTAGAAATGATGGTGTTGCACTTAGGCGTGAGATTGTTTATTAAAGATATGTTGGTTGGTTAAGCTTGTTTCTTTGATTATCAAAGAGTGAGAGACAATATGTACTGTGAATATTTAGGTGTAGATTTTCACATGTATAACTTTACTATACGGGTATATGGTGAGTAAAGGTCTTTATTCAAAGGACTAAGAGCAGCAGAGGAGTAGCCTAAAGGCAGTAAAAAGTAGGCAACAGAGTCAATTAATGATGTTTTTAAAATGAGAAAAGCAACAGTGTAACATCAACTAAAGAAAAATCACGTCTTCACCTTGATTTTCACAGATTTGCTATTTCTAGTTTTAGATGTGGGACGACACTGTAGTGGAACAAGGTGATCCTGAGATACACCACCAGTGTATCTTTCAAAGAACCTTTGAGGGACCTTTAAATTAAAACCTTTGGGATGTGTGCTTGGGTCATGATCTGGTCAAGGCTGGTTCCACCTTAAATAAAGCAGCACCTGCAGCACTGAGGACATGTTCCCAAAATATCCAGATGAAAGATAAACTGTTCTCTCTCCTTTAACCCCCCCCCACACACACTCCCTTCATCCATTTCTCCCTCCCCTTCTTATTTTTTCTGTGTAGAGTGCTCCCACTTTTTTTTAATCCCCCTTTACCCCCCACTTTATTTTTTCCTGAGCGTTCTCTCCACCCATCCCCTAATCTCACCCTTTATATCATCCTTGATTTCTCCTCCCCTTTTGTGTTCCATTTACTCCACTCATGGATGATTCCCCTCCTTTTTGCCTTTCCTCTCTCCTCCCATTCCGACCCCTACCCATTCTTCCTCTCGCCTCCCTCTCCTTCTCTCCACTCCTCCACCTTTTCCCTCCCCTCTGTCATTAGCTGGTATATAAGAGCATTGCATCTCTCTCCGCCTCTCTCACACACACAGTGTGTTTGCTGGGAAGGGGATAGTCTGGGGGAAACTAGGGATTACACTGTCTACTTGCCTCTAAAGGAATACTTTCCTCTCTGGACTCTCCACTGAAGAGGTACGACCTTTCTATTTATTTAATAATAGCACTTAATAGGAGGAAAAGTGCAGCAATTATGTTAATGTTAGTTGTGGAAATGTCCTCTAGTGACGGTGTCCTAGGGGACATTGTGAGTCTTTTGTGCTACTGAACTGCTGCAGCAATCTCTAGTATAATGAAATCAAAAGAATTGTACCTAATTTTACAACATATGTGTATTTTTATGTTTTCACCATATGTTAGATTTAACATATCTAATATATGCTTTTCTTGGTTAAAGGCATGCAGTCAGTTAATGAAATGAAATCATGGCAATCATTTCATTTGCTGGCAATAAGCATATATATCTTTGTGATACCTCTATTACCTCAAATACATCACAGTATTTTTCACATTCTTTTAACATATCTAATATATGCTTTTCTTTCATATCTTCCCACAGAACTTGGAACAGCATCTTAAAAGAATCCAGAGCACTTCAAATTTTTACCCATCATTACAACTAACGCATATAACATCATCAAGGAAACCATGCACACCAACTACAGTGTCACTCTTGTAGGCCCTGCCCCCTGGGGTTTCAGGCTGCAAGGAGGCAAGGATTTCAACCTACCCCTCAGCATCTCCAGGGTAAGACTAAAACACACTCGCAACAAAAAGGTGGACACTGTGATTAACAGGGACACATGATAATGCTTCTACTCTAACTTATCTTCTTACCTCACATTTTTCAGTTTTCTCTTTAATGCAATAAAAGCCTATAATGCTTATAATAAGCACGAGGCAGTTGTAGAGTGGCATTTTATTTACGCTATATGGTTGGTAAGAAATATTAAAGATGAACTCTAATTCCATGCTTCCTTCCTTCTTCTCTCTCCGCCACTTTGCTGTGCTTTTGCTGTACCTTTGACTCCCCCCACCACCACTCTTGATAGCTTGCAGTGCATTTACAGACACACACACATACAAAATACTGAATCTGGCGGTGTACAGATTCATGGCAATGTGAGATTAATGATGAATGGCTTGACAGGTCCTGTGCCAATCCCCCTTGAGGCTCCTTTGGTTTGCCATGTTTGTGTTATTACTTTGGATGTTTTACTTTTCCCACTAACTGAAGCCATGTGAATCTTTACCACAGTTGTGCATTTGTGTGGATGGGTGTGTTTTTGCCTGGAAGCCTGTGCATAGATACAAAATCATCACAAACGCTTTCTGGGTAAGTGAGAAAATAAATGATGGATGAATTCAGAGACAGAAAATGAAAGCAAGACAAAAGAAAACACTCAAATTATGATATACTGAAAAATGATAAACTGAAGTAAATGGTGATGTTTGTCAGTGAAGATTTTCTTTGTCTTTGAGAAGCTGGTAATAAGTAAACCATACAGGTAATCGTCTCAGCAGTGTTTTCTGATATTTACTGCTCTATCACCATGACAGTTTTGTAGGCTTAAGATTTATTTATGGTAAATAAGAAGGAAAGAAAATCAGCACTGTGCTCTAAAAGACCGACAGTGCATCTAGTTTCAGAAAAATTAAATGGACATGGGTGTGAGGATGGTGGTGGTGGTGCAATATTTAATATTTCTATGAGTTTCCAAGAGGTGAGAGATGTAGATTAGCAGAGGAGATGGAGAGGACGGGAGCGTGCACCTATGATTGAATTGAAGGTGGCACTAAAAATGAATTAATGGAAATAAATCTGCAACTGTATACAAAGAATAAGGATAACTGCTGACAGCTGGTCTATACTGTAAGACACAAACAGGTCATCTATCTAGATTTGTCTCTCTGTCGCCCTTAATCAAATCATACTTTCCTCACTTCACTCCTATTTGTTTTCTCTTTCTTTCTCTCTATATCTTTTGCTGTTAGATGTATGTGTAACATATGGCTCACTCGTCACACACAATATTTTTTTGACCTGGATACAAGAATCAAACCTAATCAAGCCTAAACCATGTTTGGTGGTTACAGGCAGTGCCTCTGAGTGCTGATCACTGACACATGCACACATGCTCATATACATTAGCACATACTGTCCAGTGCCAGTTTAACCACAGAGTTGGTTCTAAGAAGAAACCACAGACTGGTGGTTATTGGAGAATGGAGCATTAACAGCTGCTGTTGTTCAGCTCTATACGGTATTCTGTATAGTGTATTAGAATATACTCTGTGTTTTGTTTATGGCATTAAATGTATCCACCAGATTATCACATGATAGCGGTATTGCATCATAGGTTGCTGCAACCACAACTGTATGTTGTGAGCTGTCTGCCCAGTAAACCGCTGTTAATGCAACCAGTGCTCACCATTTTTTTTATGGTGTAGAAAAACACTTTTTAAAGAGGCAAAATTTTATGGTACTGCATGTTTATGCCAATGAAATGTTTTATTACAGCGTTCTGGTTTGACATAGTCCATAAAAGGAAACATCTGGAAAAGAAAGGAAAAGATTTTTAGGAAAAGCAGGCAGAAAAGAGGGAAGAGGCTACATCCTCCTGAAGTATAGTCTGGAGTACCTTGAATCTATTCTATTTTAGTTCAGTAGGATATTCAAATACTTCTATACAGAGTTATACAGAGTACAGCAACAACAAACTAATTAACAGTACATACAGAAGAGCACAGGTTTAGTTCTTGCTCATACAGAGTAGCTGTTGAAAGTCTTGTATTTATGTCAGTATAGAAGCTGTTGTTGACAGAAAGAGGAAATAAGAGGCAGCCCAGTTATCATGAAATCCATTTACTTCTTTTACTGATCAAAAAATTTCCAATGCGTAGAGGCAGAAAATGTGCCTGCTATCTCCAGCTATATTTACCACACAGTAAATCAATATTTACATCTTTGTGTGGGCAGCCCATTTACGGGATACACTGCTAAAATAATTTAAGGGATGGCAGCCTAGGAGAGTAGATGCATTAGGCTCCTAAGAATAGATGCATCATTTCACAGGTCATCTCCCGTGACCACACCCACTCTCAGATCTGTACTCCTGTTTTAACAGCCTCTGGGTCACACATGTATACAAAACACATACAGTTTTTTTTTTACAAGTTTATTAATTGGGATAAAACATTTATGTATCTCTATGGTGTTGGTTTTAAACAAGCAAAATGGGTTTTTGCTGTCAGTATTGTACAACACAATGTATTGTATCACTGAGGCCTGTCTATGTCTATTTTTTACCAGTTTGTTTATTTTTAAAAAGATTTTACTGTTTTTTTTCCATAATAATGTGCCTTAATGTCATCATTTTCTCAAGCTGTATATAGAAATCTGTTAGTTATTAAAGAAGACTTGGTTGTCACACTCACTGCTGTGACTACAGCAAAATGAGTGGACAGCTTATCTACATTAAAACCTTTTCATGGAAGAATGCAGTTCCTAGAACAGCACCAGCGATAGCCGCCTCCTGTGTCCTCAGGGATGCTTTTCCACAGCCAGTGATACCAACTGACCACAGTAATGGGTCTGTTTTAAAGACTGTTTATTTTTATACAGAGTTTCTGTGTTTTCTCTGTCATGCATCTCTTTCTTCCTCCTACAGCACTTGCTCTTACATTCACATTACACTCACAGTCCCAGTCCAGGTCTCAAATTTGTGATGCAGCAAATGTTGTGCCTTCACCTTTCATATCAGACTCTCAGAGCCAGTTGACAGCACCTCCATATGACTTAATAATATTTAAACCTATCTTAATCAAGTCTCCTGTTTCCCTCTGAGTATCTATCTTTCTTAGTTAAATACTCCCAGAGCCAGAATCAACAACTTATCATTTCATCTTCCACAAATCAATCTGTCAGTGCCCGTGAGTATGTTTGTTGGGGTAGACATGTTGTGTTTGGCCACTGTAAAGGAGTCACAGTAATCATTTTGCACTCTTTCAGATTTGTTTGTTATTTTGTATCCGGATTTGGCATTCAGGCATTATAGATTTTTGTGATAACACTACTCTTATGTTATTATTAGCTAAAAGCACATCTGAGGCCGGTGGACAAAAAAGAAAGATAGAGAGAGAAAAGAGAGGGATTACTTTTTGGAAATCCTCCTATATTGCTTGTTGACAGTTATCTGGTCCTACTGGTGACCTCAGTAAAACATTTCAGTCTTCACCAGTAATGGACTGGCTAATCCATTGTAAAAGCCCCGTCAATGTCATAGTTGCCAAAACAGGAAATGTGCTGAAATGAAAATCACACATATTTTCAACAGTCTGAAGCTTTTATAGCTCCTTATACAGGGTCACATTTGTTACGGTAGTGCTGAGTGATAACCAGCTAGCCCAAATTAACTGAAATGCTTTATCACTGGTTAATGTTTGCTAGTGTCCAAACTATATGAGGATTTTAACTGGCCATTTAAAGGGCATAATAACATATAGAAAACACAGCAAGAATAATCCTTAAAAAGACACAAGACATAACATACCTGGAGAATTTGAGTAGCACACATTTTTATTTTTTGTGTTACTGGAATGATGCTGGTGCTGGTCCTCTGTGTGTGTGTTTTTTTCACAATGTGAATTCCGTTACATGTATTCATGTACAAGCCTGCATTTCTTTTTCAGCTAAATGCCCATCTAAAGGGGAAAAAAAGCCAGTCTTGATTACTTGAATACTGTGAAACTTGTAAATATGGGTTTGATGCTTTACAGCCTGCCTTGTTGACTACTGCTACACAGTTAGTGGTAACTTTTTTTCTTTACCTTAGTAGATCTATGGTGAAATTTGTTATGAGTGTGTCCCTGTTGTATTTTTTCATGTGGAGGAGGACCAGGTAATTACACACGTTCCTGCCACTAATGTACAGGTGGTGGTAGAGCACCAAGAAATGCAGCAATATCCTAGCCAAAAGCAGGGAAGAAGAAGACTGCTTGCAATATCCTAACCAAAAGCAGGGAAGAAGAAGACTGCTTGCAAGTAAACATGGATGCCAACAATGCAAATTTAAATCTTTTCAAAAATTCTGCATTCAGCACTTTCATTAGACTTCAAGCATACACACAGTGCATTTTGGTGAGTAACACTGAATGTACATACAGTAAATGGCCAACTTACCCATAGGATTAAGAACAGTCATACAGCACTAAGCAGACTTTGTAGCATCCTGTTGGGCCTTATTTTTATATTTCTTTGACAACAGTTTCTTTACATTTACTCTGCAAACCCATAACAGAGGAATCATTTGGTTTTGACTGTTTTGTGAATATAATTTCAGGAGAAAAGTGCTGCCTATCAGCTTGTATCAGAGTTGGGTTATGCTTGAATGGGAAGACTGCTTGTAAGTATGACAGATCTCTTGGGTAGATTCTCAGTCTCATGTGAAAGCTTTGTGTTTAATGTGTACAATGTGTTTTTGTGGGTTTGGCAGCTGTAGTTTCAGTGAGCTGTCTCTGGAAACTCAGTCCAATATAGCTTTTTCTCTGTCTTTAATGTATAAGTCAGCCAGTGATTAGCAAACACACACAGCTTCAGGGAAAGAAACAATTATTTTCAGAAGATTTGATTGCGCTGAAAGTAGTATGTTAGTGTGCCAGCACTGTAGTGTGTGCTCATGAATGTGTATGCAAATTTGATAATACACACTATACATACAGTTTACTGTTACAGAAATGTTCAGAGA